TTGGTAATATTTTCTATGTTTTTATGTACTTTTATATCAAATTCTACCATTTTATTACAAGAACTGTGCAGTTGCTTCTTGAAAATAACTATAATTTAATTTTTAATTTTTAAAAATAATAATTTTTCGTAACTAGATATCTATAGGTGTTAGTATCAAGTTATAAGTTAGTATTAATAAAATCCAAAATCAAAACAAATTGAAATTGTACTCTATAGATTAAATTATGTAAAATGTTTATTAAATTGCTCATTAAGGTAATAATATAATCGTTGTACCTATGTAAAGGTTTTTATAAAACACAATTAAAATATACTAATTGATGTAACAAATTTCTAAATGCCCATATTAAAATACATACCTATTCATTGTTGTACTTTAACATTGGGACGTGGTGTAGTTTCCCGGTCGTAGGCCTCAGTCACTAATATTATGCTCAGTTGAATTCAAGCATCTTCGGGCGTCACTAGTTCCCGGATGGGTAACCTCCCGGGCTTTTAGTATGATGAATCCTCGCCCCACATACAGGTAACACGCGTTCCGAACCAACCGTATCCAAGCCGTATACAAATAAGCTAATAACCGTCCGTCACCCAATGGCCTATGTTCCCAAGGGCCGAATAAATAAAAATGAATAAATAAAAGTACCTACTATAGAAAACAAACACCTGTATTCAGTATTCACGAAGATATAGGATGCATGTGATTTGTCTTTTATCAGCTGGTTGTCTTCCAAAGCCAATTCCTTTGTATTTACCTATAAGTATTTTAATAATATTAAAAATAACAATAACAACAATACCTATAATATAGGTACCACATACACCGGACGTATTGAATCGTTTTACCGAAATCGGGGGTAGAACTTCGAACAGAGATTTATGTAAAGTGTAAATCTAATATTCACGTGTAAAATATATTATAATATATACATAATACGTACGCGCATGTTTGTTTTGGTGCACTGTTGAAAATTGGAAGCATATTCCAACTGTATACATACAACAATAGTATAGTGAGTATATATCATCTCTAATATACATGCAACGTTGGCATCAGAAATTCCACTAGGGATTTGATATCGGGGAGGTTCAATAACCCTCCTGGGATCGCGAACGGGATCGTAACAATTCGGTGCCCGTCCCTCCCCCCTTCCCCTCTCCCTTATTGGATTACACGCGCTCGCGTGCCCCCGAGCACGAATATGCTTCAGCGTTCGAGCGCTCAGCGACGCCATTACCACAATAATAGTCGAAAGAGAAAACAATTCACATCTCTAGCGAATTCGACGTGACTCTTATATCGTATCGTCGACAAATACGTTGTACATTTATATATATATATATATATATATACTAGCTGGACTACCCGGCTTCGACCGAGTGTATTTTTGTTTTTTTCATATTTACAATGTATACTTACTTATAACTTCCGAGTATATAACTTCTCGGAACAATTCTTATCTACCCGAAGGACAAAAATGATAAGTTGCAGGTATAGCCTGCGGGCCGCCACGAGTATTGGCGATGAATAATAATTATAATTGTTAATTGCCCCGCTAAAACGCAACATTTTTGAAAATCCTTTCCGGCGAAAATGTGAGAAGAACCTCTATTCCAAATTTCAAGTTCGTACGTTGCGCGGTTTTTGAGTTACAGCGATCGGTGACTAAGTGGTATTTGGATTTTATATGTATACATACACTCGATTACTATTTACCACAAAAACTGAACACGCCTGTACATTTATTTGTGTTTAAAAGCGAGCATATTATACAGTGCACTGCAACAGATCTGTGACCTACACTGAACTAGACTGTTCGTTTTTAATATACTTAGATATTATTATAGATACGCAAATCTCGGAGATTGTATTTTTTTGAGAAAATGTATAAACAGTTTGTGAATAAAAAAAAACGTTAAAAAGATTTCATATGTGATGGCATGCGCGGTTTTCGTATGATATTATTATATGCAGTAATAATAATATTACGTGAACTCACGACCGGCATTGTCGTCATAGTGATAAAAACGTTTTTGTCGTTTTTTTTTTTTGTAAATTAATATTTTGTTTTATCTCATTTAGAATTAGTAGTAACATTATGAATTTATGATATACAACGTTATTGTCGATTATCGTTATTTAGAATTAAATCGAATTGGACTTTAGATTCTGAGTGGAGTGATGATGATGATATTTCGATGATGTGTGCTTTTTTGTGCTGTCTGGAGAAACTTTTTATGCGAAAAAAATATTTCGATTTTCTTTTTTTCTAATACCTTTTCAGGTAGAAAAATGAATCTAGATGGTACTTACTACTTTGAGAGGGTCGAAAACTCAAAAGTAAAAAATCTGTAGTACTTTATACTGTTTATTATCCTAATGACAGGAAAAAATAAAAAAAGCTGTCATTTTTACGCAAACACAAGTTTTTGACAAAATCGATTTTTTTATCTACTTTAATTCAAAAACAAATAACTGTAGTAATACGTAATCATTTGTATTAAAATTTTCTATATTTTATAGATTATAATAATTTTTAATAATGAGTATAATTTTTAAAATATTTTTAAGCCATTTATAGCTATAAGAAATTTTCGATTTGTATTAGTTTAAAAAAAAAAAATGTTATCGATAAAATAATTTTTGTTCGATCATTGAAAATGTAATACAATAAGGTTCCTCGTGAGTTGCTCATACTGAAACAAATCTAAATAATATTTTTACCCACATTTTTTGATCGCCATTTGTATGAAAAATTATACAGGTACCTACCTATAATATTTAAACGAAGAATAACGATTTTTGTACAATTTTTTTTGTAATTCCAATATTCAATTATATTTTTCGCGGGCGTTTAAAATTTTCGTTTATTATATTTTATACACACAATGATACATTAACCTTTAGATAAATGTTATATTATTACCTATTTATACCACGAACCTATTCACACTATTCTACGGTATAGGTAGGTATTAGTTCAATAGTTAATAACAATTGTAAGATATTAATAAGTACATATATACCCACTATTACAACAATTTAATTAGAGAGCTTGAGTGATTAGCTCCTTCCGTTTTGAAATTAGCATCCTCATAATTTATGCAACGTGTGATTAATTAGGTCTTAAATACTCTTAATTGTATATTAATACATGATATTATATTATGCACAGCACAAATAATCATTTTCGATTCTGAGTAGAACGATTTAAGTGTGTTGATTTTACATTGTGTGTTTTTTGTTTTCCGTGTACACGATAAGTACTCGAAATAACTCTCCGATTTTCAACTTCAGTAACTTTTCTGGTAGTCTCATAGTGGATAAAGTTGGTGCATTTGATAGGTCAAAATTGGAAATTCTTTGAAGTTTTCAAAGGAATAGGGAAAAACAAAAAAAAATTCACGAAAAATGGTCAGTTTTACACAATACCTACATTATTTGACGAAACCGATTTTGTTTTTTTTCAGTGTTCCTAAGGTAATGCAAATGAAAAATAACCGTAGACTCGTATATATTTCATGATTTTTTCAAGTAATGTTTGTACATATTAATGTTCTCCGTACTGCAATTTTCAGAATATTTTTACTCTTTTCAAGCTATTTACGGGCATGAGAAATTTTCGGTTTCTATTAGTTAAAAAAAAAAAAAATATTGTTGATAAAATAATTTTCGCTTGACAATTGATTAAATATGGCCGCCATGATCAATAAACTTGACATGTAATTCGAGGTTCCTCATAAGCTATTTTGAGAACTTTCTGGAGTTTGGAAAATAACAGGCTACCATTTGGTAGCAATTTCAGTGTTGTTTTTTGCAGGGTAGAATCTAGAACAAGTTTAAGACATTCTCTCTGCAAGATGTTTTAGTTCAACTTATCCTATATTGTCAACAATAATAACATAATATAAGAACTTTAGCGGGGTTGGTATGAGAGTTTTTTTAAGGTAATTCAGTTTTTAAGTGATCATTTTTAATTTATGCAATACTATATATACTTACTAAAAACTTTGAACCATCGTAAAAAACCCACGTGCCAAGATAGATAATGTTCTTAGCATCAATTTTCATAGTAAGTCGATTCACTCTAATTCTTAAACTAATGGAGCAAAACGTCATCTTCTGAGCGTAAATTTGGTATGTCAAGCAATTGTAAGACGGAGACAGCTATAGAGAATAATATCGGTAATTATCAGGCATACAAAATTAAATGCCTTTAAATAAAACAATGTATTTAATCCAATATTTTTTAAAAATATTTGCATATACATTTTGAGTTAAGTATAAAATAGGTTGGTATTACCATTATTTTTGATTTAATTAAGTTTTGTGGCAGTTGAGGCAATACCGTCAACATATTATATGGACTATTATTAGTTATTACTTACTCAACAATGATGATAGGAATTGGAATAAAGATTTTTAAACTGAGTTATTAGTTATATTGGTTTATTTGTTTTTTAAGATTAACAATGAAACCACCGCGTTACGTTTTCGAGTTATAATAATATTATTACGGCCTATTGTTATAACAAATCGCAACAATTTACTAACACTGCTCACAAGTAATATCATTGATTATAAATTATTTATAATCAATGGTAATATTAATAATTAAATATTCATAATATTAGTTCATCACAACGTCCTTGCGTACTAATATTACGTTTCTTTGTTGTCTCGTAAATCGAGATCAATAGTTTTCGTCTTACATTTCGATACTACTGTTAAAATTGTTTTTAAACGGAATACGGAAATATTTGCTCTTGTACAAGTGTACAACAGTAAAACCATCGAAATATAGCCACCCTCCCCTCCCCCCGCTCGTCGTGTGTAATACTTGTTTTTTAAAATCAATTTTCAAAGATTGAGTGAACACAGAACAATTACCGCGGTTTTGAAGTTAATTTCGGAAACATCGATTTATTATACTTTAACGAACATCGATAGTAAAACATCGATAGTACGTGCGATGATAATATTGTTTTGAAAATAAAATTGAAAATATTGTTTCCTTATCATTGTCACACAATTTGTTATTTATAAACATTGGACATTCCCCATTCGCGGGTTTTCGATTTTGGATTTGGTCACTATTTCTGAGTCAAATACTGACGATTTACGACGAACATCAACGGCAATATGGATTTCGAGGAATCATTCATCAACGCTCAGGATTTCGACAGTCTCGTCCAAGTGGTAAGATACGCTTGTTTTATCTCTCGGCTCGGGTCGTTGCAGGCCGTCGCCGTCGTCGTCAACAGCGGTCGGTTTCGATGTCGACTTAATAATATTATTATAATATTCAACGATATGACGATTCGATTGCATTACAGGAACAGGCGCAGGAGATGAAAGAGAGCACCACTACGACTCCGCCTCCAGTCGCCAACAAACGGGGACGCAAGCCCGGAAAGAAGTCCAGCGACAAAGTGGACATCAGAGCCAAACTAGGTTAGGTTCAAACCCTGCGGCACCTAAACATTGGCCTTTGTTATTTACTGTTTTTTTTTTCATACAACGTTAGAGAGGAGCCGGCAAAGTGCCCGGGAGTGTCGGGCAAGAAAAAAGTTACGTTACCAATACTTGGAGGAGTTGGTGACAGACCGTGAAAAGGCGGTCATATCTCTGCGACAGGAACTGGACAAAGTATATTATTATTTTACATACATCATGTTACGTTATAGTGTTATTATTGAATGCACCGGATGACATTGTTGTGAATGTCTTGTTCGGTGTCTTGTAACATTGTTCGTTTATCCATTGTTCACAGTACAGAACATGGTGTGTCGAAGTTGATGAAGGCAGGATTCCAGAAGGTTTGCCGGGGCTCTTGGACGAATTAGGAGCTGTGAAACAAGAATCTGCTGGCGGTGTACTTATCATGTAACATTTTATTATTATTTTTATTGTTTGTGCCATTGTTTCCATTACATAATATGGGTTTTTAATTTTTTTCTGAAGATTTTCAATTTATTATGTTAAAATATTTAATATTACAAGTATATGATAATGTTTTGTTTACAAATAATTAATATTTGATATTTAATCTTAACAAGTAAAATATACTTTACTTATTCATGGTTTGTTTTTTTTTTATTAAAAAGACACCTTTATAGGAACTACTTGATTACTAACTAGCAAGACCTTAGGCATTCATTTATGAGTAAATCACAATGTGGCATACTTACATAATAGGTATTAGTAATATTTATATTGTACAATAATACAAAATACATTTTAATATTCTATTATGGTTTTATGATATATGAACTATGAACAAAATGTCAATATTGCCATTTGTTAATGTCAATGTCACACTTACAAATCACAAAAGTATTCACTATCATAAATTAATAATAATAATAACAATTAATAATACAATGCTATTCAGAAATAAACCCATGGACTAATCACATTTTTTTCTTTTCTAATTTGCAAAATAAATTATAGCCCAGAATTTTTCTGTGGCGAAAACAACAAATTTTACTCCCACTGGCTGCCACAAAAAATGGATTCAATTTTCGAAAAAAGTGGTAAAGGTATTTATCACGATTTAAGATAGTACTATCATTCTATCTAATCAAAGTGATTTTTTAGATAACACTGTTATCACAAAGTCACTAACCATAATATTGTTTTAAAAATTGATTTCAAAATAATTAATTATTTGTTTTAAAAACTTCGTGCTTTCGTAGTTCGTGTTCTATTCTGTCAGCCCACCGTTAGTAATAAGTGGTATTCAACGAACTTCAAACTGTTCCATATAAGAATATTTAAAAACTCGAAATCAAAATGAACAGCTTGAAAAATATGTTTAGACCTACGAAACCAATTTCTAAAAATGTTTCATTTAAACCGGACGAACTCATATCAAACAGTCAAAAAGTTAGCTTACAATGTTTGAAATACTTTTACTCTTCCTTTACAAATACATGATAAATTAATCCATTAATCGTATGTTTCAGTTGATGTTGGAACTTGGTATTATCAGACAAAGTGCCAACGGATTATACCACTTACTGCCTCTTGCTCAGCGGTCTTTAGATAAATTGATTTCCATCATAAATAAAAATATGATGGATATTGGCGCTCAGAAGATTTCTATGCCCGTATTGATACACAGTAACTTGTGGAAAAAAACAGGTTTGTTGTACCTATTAATTTTCATTGATTTGAATATAAGTACCTACTATACCTACTTTCTAGCTGATTGTCACTGCATTAATGAAAATAATCTTTCTAAATTTTGATGTTAGTTCTATTTTTATTAATTTACTGTGTCCCGTTAAAGAATTGGTATCAAGTTACTTTATAACATATTACATATGTTTTTCTTGATAATGTATAAACTATACTATTTATATTTAATTCACAATGTTAATGATTCAAATTTTAAATAAAGACAGAAATGATTTAACTTTTTATTTTTTGTTGATTATTATAGGTACATTACCCTGATTTTAATTACTACAAAGTGTAACAAATTAAAACATACTGACTTTAAATTAGTTATAGTCAAATATTTAATTTTATCACTACTGTACAAGTCAATACTTTTTGTAATAGATTAAAAATGTCATAAACAAATAATTGTATTTAATACTACATTGCATTGGTATACTATTGATACCATTGGACATTAGTATTAATGCCCTTATTAAATTTGATTTTACACTATCAAATAAATATTATACTTTTGTATTTTATTTTTTACAATTGCCTAACATTTGATTAATTTGTTTTAAGGTCGGTTAAACAAAAACATTGAAGATTTATACATAGTGAATGATCGCAAAAGCAAAGAGTTCCTACTAAGTCCGGTAATACATATATATATGATTAACTATATTATATATTAGTGATTTGCAATATATATTTGTACAGACTCATGAAGAGGTCGTTACTGATTTATTTAGTTCAGATCCTAAGACGTACAAGCAATTGCCTTTAATGCTGTATCAAGTTGGCACAAAATTCAGAGATGAGATTAGGCCTAAGTTGGGCATTATCAGATCCAAAGAGTTTCTTATGAAAGATTTGTATTCTTTTGATAGAGATCAAACAAGTGCTACAATTACATACAACAAAGTTTGCCAAGCCTACGAAAAGATATTTAAGCGCATTGGTGTTAAATACATAAGAGGTAGAGGAAGATATTATAAATAAAATCATGCAAAACATTAATATTATGGATTTGATTTTAGTTGAAGGTGCTTCAGGAATGATGGGTGGAAATCAATCCCATGAATTTCATTATCCGGCCGAAGTTGGAGACGATACGTTATTACAGTGTAAGAAATGTGGTTTTGGAATGAACAAAGAAATGTCACCAGAGTTGGTCCAGTGTCCCAAATGCTCTAGTACTGACATTGAGTTTACAAGGGCTATTGAAGTAGGCCACACTTTTCAACTCGGCACATTTTATTCAAACGCCTTGTCTGCCACATACTCGGACACAGATGGAATTCTGAAACCTCCATATATGTGTAGCTATGGTTTGGGTGTTTCCCGAATAATTGGTGCATCTGTGGAATGTTCGAGCACACAAGAAATAATCCAATGGCCGCGACCATTGGCTCCGTTTACTATTTGTATAATACCAGCCAAAGAAGGCAGTATTGAGGAAAACACTTCTATGAACAATATACACTCTCTTTACAATCATTTTACTGAAATATTTGGAGACGATATTATTGTTGACGATCGAACCCATATGACTATAGGCAAGCGATTAATTGAAGCAAAAAAATTAGGATTTCCATTTGTGGTCGTTATGGGAAAAAAAATAAACGAAACTCCCTCTCTGTACGAACTGTATGAAGCTAATACAAAGAAATCAGAACATTATGAACTAAGTAGTTTAATTAATTATTTTAAGCAACAATGTTTAGACAAAATTTGATTACTATTTAGTTTAAAGATTCCTAATTACTATACTAATTAGTTTTAGCAATACCTTGTGATAATTGTCTATTTTTTTTTTTAAATACATAATATTTTCATGTTTTGTTGTTAAATGCATAAACAATTTGTTTTATTTTATATGTTTATATAACTTAATATAAATATTACACTTCCATTTTATGTATTAATATTGGAAATTGTGATATATTTTATTCTGATTAATAATGAGCAAGTCTTAAAATAAAACAAATGAGAATTAAATATTCATGTTACTGTGGAAACACAATCATAGTACTTTACCAAAAAGTTAGGTGAATATTTTGAACAATACCAATTGATTAAAGGTGCGCTGTATGTAGAAACACCTCATAAGTCATCAAAATATCTAAAATTGTTCAACTTGTCAGTGTTAATTGGACACAGTCAACCTAATAGTAACATGTATACTATGTTTTTTAGAAAAGAAAATTATTTCAATACATTAGAAATATTGTTCATGTCATAAATTATGCTTTTTGTCTTTTTTAAAGTGATTTGTAAGAGTAAGTCGAACAAAAAAAATTTGATTAAACCAATAGAAACTGTAACATTTATAATAGTATATATGATTTATATTTATCACTTCTAAATGCTTTAAGTTTGTTAACAAGTAAATGTTAATTTTCAAGAACTTGTAATGTAAAGCATAAAAATGAAAAAAACCTAAAGTAGAACAATTTTTAAATATCAGTTTAACAATAAAGTGGCAGGAAAACACTTGTGTCACAATATTAATGATAAATGGTTCAATCTTAGAAGTAAATCTCATGTGAAAATCATTTGGTGTTAGACAAAATGACAAAAATCCAGGACTAATCGATGATTTTAAGTTTATAAGGATTATATCCGTAATTTAAATCGATTTATTTCAATAAAAATGTATACATTCATTGAATTTTTCAATTCCTCTAACTATAGCTTGATACATTTTATTATTTTCTAAACATGAAGCTAAACAAATGACAACGGTGGAATATGATTAATACTATTTTAGTCTACAAGAATCTGCCAGGTAGCCAGAAGAAATGTTATGCAATCCGGTATAACAAATACTGTATTGACCTACCTAACCATTACCTTAACATACCATTTTTTTTAAATATAATATTTGTACTCATATGTAATAACTTTAAAATGTATCATCCAATAAAACACTAATATATTCATTTCACTCGAATTGAATTCCAGAAAATTATTATATTCATGGCCAAACAAGGTAACAGCACCAAACCCCAAAAACTTTTTTCAGAACTCAAGTTCCTACGCCGGTAACACACTAGCATACAGCACTAGCATACTACATTTTCCCTGGAAAATCTGAGACCAACACCCTTTTGTGTTGACAAATCAAATATAATAAACATTTTATATTTTTAATTTTTTTTGCCTACCACTGGGCTCATAATACAAAATTACACATTATGATTTACTAATATTGTCAAAATGAAAAAATATTGTTTAATAATATAATATATTACTTACATAGTTATGTACAACTGAAATTAATAGTTTCTGATTTGTAAAACAAAATTCTAGTACTGTAGAAATTGATTATATTATATGTCTTTAACAAAATAAACTGACCGGGTCAAATTTTAATTTTCTTCAAGGTATAAATATTTTAATAAGGACTTGGTGTTCCTCAAAATTTGTATCTTCGTGATTTACTTATTAGGTGGGTATATATATTGCACTTTATTACCTGTTTTACATTTAAAAAATCTTTAGGTTCTTAATCAGAGTAATGTATATTTTATTTGAATATTAAAATTACATAAATCTACCTTTGACATTTGCCAGTTCTAATGAATCTTCTATGGACAAATTAATATTTTTATATTCAACACAGTAAACAACTACAACATGTTTAAAAACAATTCAACTGAATCAATTACCAATTTACAACAAAAAATCTTAATTTTAGAAATGATGTCCATGTTTGTTTCGGCTATATTCTAACCATTAACCCATTCCTAGTTATTTTCACCAAATTAATCAATTTGTTTGTGTTAAGAATGAAAGTTTCCCATGATCAACATATTGTGGTTCTATGGTTGAAAAATATTAATAAATTGTAAGAATTATTTAGGTACATTGTTACTATAGGTAACAAAACAAGTACAGAATTCACAATTTGAAAATAATATTATATAAGAATAAGAATGGTCATTACAGTTAAAAATGAAATGAAATGATTAATCTGTTCATTAATATTTAATAGTAATAGGTACCTACTATTATGCTTTCAAGCCAAGCGCAAACAACTTTATTTTATAGCAACTTTTGAAAATTCATCAGGATACCTCTTTAAAATTGTATTTATCACATCATTTTTAATCTTATGGAGTACTAATAATAAAATAAATAGATACTATATTATCCTTTGACATTTTATTAAAATTTATTTTTTTTACTTATATTACCTGTAATTTGATAATATTATAATATTTTTATAGTTTAGGTATCTATAATGTACATTTAATAAAAATCAAAAGCTCTGGTTATTACAATCAATGAAAAGTTAAAATGACAATAAATTTAGATATAACAAATAGGTACAATGTGTAACATGTAAAAAAATAAGTATATAATTTAAAGTTTAAAAATATAGTTGGTAAATTTCTTATCAAGTAGATTTAGCACAAAAATACACAAATACTTTATTTGTAATTTTTCGTTTGATACAAAAATAATTGACAAAATAGAGAGCTCTTTTGTTTCATTTCTTTTTCTTATACAAATAAATACTTATATCTTATTTTTAAGTATCTTATAACTAACAAAAATATATTTTAAATACTTAATATTTTAACATGGCAGATATTGAGCTGCAAATTCACACTTTGCAGCTACATATATATTATTTAAATTAGAATAATAATAACAGTTAATGAGCAAACATGTATACACGTAAAATATAATGAAGAGTTTGGTTAGTAATAATAATTTATTCGACAGTGTCATTTTTATCCTAGAATAATAGTGACAGACACGATTATACAGCAACTTACAGTTGTTAGCTACTACAATAATCATACTGTCGTACTTGGAGTTAAGACATAAAAAAAAATAAAAATAGAATTGTAAAGAAAAGAATGATTTTGACGGAAAAAAAATGTTTGACATTCGAGGGAAAAAATAAAAAACAAAACACTACAAAACATGTTTGTGCGTTAACATTTAGAGATCGTCGGATCGCGCGGCGGCCGCATCTTGCGATCGGCCAGCACGGTCCATGCGTCCGAGAACAGTTTATCGTCGTTGGCCACCAAAAACGACATGTAGCACATCTGCTTGACGGACAGGTCGGCGGAACGGGAACACACGTGGCCGTGCAGGACGTTGGCGCGTTCCAGGTCCAACCATCTGGTAACAATAATCCGGGGCGTAGCACTCGATATCTAATAGGTGTGATGTGGTGCGTGTGTGGAGGTGGTGATATAGTGGTTAAAGGTCGGTGGATAGGGTTAGGTTGTGGTTGTGGTTGTGGTTGTGGAGGTGGTCGTACGGAGGTGGTGGTGATGGTGATGGTTACCTTTTCAGCGACAGCGGTCGGTCGGGCGACACGGTCACTCCGGTCGGACCCCACAGCCAGAACTCGAGCAGCGCCTTGCACTTGGACAACGAGTTGGGCCGGCCCTGCCGCAACACCTGCGACAGACACACGGTCATCTCCCACGTGGGCGCCAACAGCCTGAGCACCTTGAGCATGATCTCACAGAGCGTATCCTCCGCTTCCTGAAAAACAGCGGAGATTACAATATTAAGCAATAGAAATTAGAAACAATTTTAATAACATAGAAGAAGTTGGAACGTCGTACGTTGTATATATACTCCTCAACAGGTATGTGTGACTGAGTGGAAGGACCCCCTCAGGTAGCTCACCATACCAGTATACCACCCTCGATTCGTCATCAATAAGCCAACAATCGAGTATAGTAACTAATAATTCAGGGTTTTTGGGGGAGAGGGGTATGGTGTTGTAAATAGGAATTTATTCTGTTGACCTCCCCCCCTCCACCATGAAATTTCTAGCTACACCCTTGATGTCCATCGCACCATTAAATAGATTTAATACGGAATTCCTATTTGCGGTGTACAGTTACACACAGCTAAACAATATCTACTTTGTTTTATTTGTCTTGGTGGGTACCTGTAAATCTGTTTCCAGTTGAACCACGGCCACGGTCGGGTCGGCACCAAAACAGTTTCTGGTTACCACGAACGATTCCAGGCTGTACCGGTCCACGTCCGACGCCTGCAGGCCGATCAACAGATTCACAGTTTCCACTAGGATGAGACCGGCTTCCTTGGTGATGTCCGCGTACTTGGCGTTGTATTCCTTGCAATACGATTCCACGGCCTCCACGCGATGGGCATTCCACAGCGTCACGTAAGCTGCAATATATATATATATCGTCGTTTGAGGTTTTTATAATAATTGTTACAATAAATATAAATATTTAAACTAACGCGATCCAACAGACATGAGACACCTCTACGATGGATCGACTTAATATGCAAATATATAAACACCCCCCCCCTCCCTTCACATCGCGACATATATTACGTATTAAATATATACACACCTTCTTCGTTTTCGGCGCCTGGACAGTATTCTTTCTCCACGCGCGTCACGAACTCTGTCACTTTGGTCATGGTGAAATGGTTGTTCAGTACGTTGTTCAGCTCAACAGGTTCGCTAGAAATGCTCAACACCACCGGCACGTCGTACCATTTGCCGTTGTAGAATGCGCAACCGGCTTTTTGCAATCGGCTCGTCGAGTCCACTCGGAAACTAGACCATTCCAAGTTCTTCGTCTTCAACGCCATCAACTCTTTGGGCACTTTCGGACAGCTCGTCGCCTGCATATATAAAAAAAAACAACCGCAGATTAGTATATTTTATAAAATGACACCTAAAGTTCAGTCATGTGCAATGTATGAAATATAAAATTG